GAGGATTTATTGTTAAACAACAAATGAACTGGGAGGGCTCATTAGACTCCATGAGATAACACAGAACTCGAGTACAGGACAGCTGTACATTTCTTACACCGCAGCGGGTATTTCTTTGCACAGACGAAACAAATGTAACAGACCAAAATGGAGCAACTAATGAATTGGGATCCATGTTTTGGGGTGACATCTCCCCCATAAAGCCATCCTAGAAACCAGACTTCATCCCTCTGCTCACTTCCTAGTGATGTAATCACATAATATCCAATCGATGAGATTTCCTCCTTTTACCCAAAAAACAAATACACTACTTCCTGTTTGTCATCATTCTATAATTCCCTCAGTTACAATGTATCTTGTTGGGTTGATGACATCATAGTGATTCCCCACAGACAGGGAACCCCCGCGGGTCTTTTCTAAGCAAAATGATGGGGATAGAATGAGGAATCCATAGAACCATTGATGGTTTTTGTTTTCACGCTGTCTCTGATTAGGAGAATTTTCCTCATTTCCTGCCTCAGTGACAACAATGGCAGTAAAATCACCTATTTGTAGGAAAGGTGGGAAGGCTAGAACCCCCTTTTAGCTTTAAGTCTGTCTGTCTGTGCCCCCATTGTAGATTTTGCTTCACTTCCTGCTACAGGGACTACATTCTCGCCAGGACAGGAAATTAGGTTTCCCCAAATTTTAACTATTCCCCCCGCTCCATCCAAAACTAAAACAAAACGCACTTCCTGTAAATCTGAAACTTCTTTCAATCAAACTCCTTTTTGTCCACATCCACGAAAACATTTTCTCCCTCTCTATGTTGTTGCTTTGTCCTGCGGGGAGGTCGGCCGTCTGGCAGTGTCGTAATTTAATCCACGCGCGGCACTCCGCAGTCTGGAGCCGCCATAATTGTTCCCATCCGCTGACACCGCTGACACAGGAAGTTCTATTTTTACCTTAATTTTATTAAGCCGTAAATATGATACAATTTTATATTATTACTATAAGGAGACGGGATTGTTACAATGAAGACATTCTGACGGGTCTTGTTACAGTGTATCTGTAGCCCTTCACTTTTTTTTGCCTTTACTTTCGCTTTCAACAAATATTAACATAATAATACAAATAAATTAATAATAATAATAATAATAATATATATATAATATTAACATAAAGCTGCCGGTGACCAGAGATTCAGGAAGGGAGCAGAAGGTGCAATAATATCACCTAGAAGTCATTTTCACGTCTTTACATTTGCATCTTTTATTAAAATAATCCCTGCTGATCCTGCCATGAATGTCCTTCTTCAGGCACTTCCTGTTATAGGGTGACAACTCGACCTTTGCGATTTTCGTTTCATTCCGAAATCAAAATTCGGACAAATTTTCCGACATCCGGACACATCTGAATTTCCGAATCCCAATGTGTCCGAATCCAAATTTCGGTTTCGAAATTTCGTTTAAAAAGGAAACTGAATGGGACATGTGACTTTTCCTGCCAATCAGATGTGTTTTTCCGTTTATTGCATCCGAATGGGTCTGAATAGGAATTTTCGTTACGGCAACATGGGAGCCTTCTGATTGGCCAGAAAAGTCGCATGCTGTAATGAAAATTTGTGTTCAGTACACACACATATTACTAAAGCTGGGGCTCCCAGACCCGAATTGCATTTGGGAGCTCCTGAATACCATTCGGGTCTGGGAGCCTCAGCTTTAGTTATATATGTATATGATTTCCAGACCCGAAATCGCATTCAAGAGCTCCCCAATGCAATTCGGAAATTCGGATCCCGAATGCCATTTGGGTCTGGGAGCCTCAGCTTTAGTATTAATATCTATATATGGTTTTCGGTTTTATTCGCAACGAAGATTTGCAAACTCATCTGAAATTCGGATCCGGAACCCGAACCGAATTGAATTTCCAAATGACCGAACTGAATTTTTCCGGAGCTTACATGTCTAGTGACAACGCTCTGTCCATGTCTCCCAGTTGTGCTCATGCGTTGTCGCCCTGTCACAGGGGATTTCCACACACGTTACACAGACATGGTCCACTGTTGTCACCATGAGGAAACCCGCCCTGAGAAATGCCATGCAGCCATTGCTGGAGACAGGAAGTGGCTGCAAAGAGGTTTTAGGGAATCGGCAGCACTGAGATGGAACATATAATGGGAAAAAAAGGTCAAAACAAGGATTTTATTAAAGAGAAACAGATTTTTTTGATACGCTGCGCACAGAGCACACTTCATGCCATTCTGTTAGGGATTACATCTAGTATAATGCACATATGTAATCATTAAAGGAGAACTATGAGGCGATTGCTTTTCACTCACCTCATAGTTCTAGCCGACCTGTGACAATGAGACTGTCACAGGTCGGCTCAGTAGATCGGGAAGTGAGCAAACACATACCGGCGCTCGATCAGGCAGACAGGGCAACCAAAATTAAGATAGGGGCTACTGGCCCCGCCACTGAAAGTAGTCTCCACTGTTATATTTACATATGAATAAACCGCGACTCATTCTCCCCAAAAACATTTCCATGCATCGCTAGAGTGTTCGGGTTTGGCTGAAAGAAAAGGTGGCAACCCTATTACTGGAGCACATTCCACAGAGAGGTCCAGGATCTGCCTGTTCTGTCTGGCATGGTTGCTGAGACCACGAGACTAGCAGTTAAAGGTGAACTCCAGGCACAACAACTTTCATTTAAATATATTCCTTAGTAGCCACAAGAGATTGAAATCCACGCTGTGTGCGCCCAATGGCTTTTGTAATCCCAGATTTTACCTTTTAAAAGTAGCAGGGGCATCACTGTGCCGTACATAGCTTAAGCTGGGGGAGGGGCCCAGCAGGCCCCACCAACTACAGGCTGCCTGCAGAAAACTACAGGAGGGAGCAGAGACGAGACCAGTCACCCTACACAAGAAGAAAGAGCAGCAATGACCAGTCTTTATTACAGAAGGGGCAGAGACTAGACCAGTCACCCTGCACAAGAATATAGAGCAGCAGTGAGCGGTCTTTATTACAGGAGGGGGCGGAGACAAGACCAGTCACCGTGCACAAACAGAGAGTGCAGCAGTGAGCGGTCTTTATTACAGGAGGGGGCAGAGACCAGGCCAGTCACACTGCACAAGGAAAGATAGCAGCAGTGAGCGGTCTTTATTACAGGAGGGGGCGGAAACAAGACCAGTCCCCTCTACAAGGAGAGAGAGCAGCAGTGAGTGGTCTTTATTACAGGAGGGGCGGAAACTAGACCAGTCCCCCTCTACAAGGAGAGAGAGCAGCAGTGACCCGTCTTTATTACAGGAGGGGGCGGAGACGAGACCAGTCACCCTGCACAAAGCAGAGAGATCAGCAGTGACCCGTCTTTATTACAGGAGGGGGCGGAGACGAGACCAGTCACCCTGCACAAAGCAGAGAGATCAGCAGTGACCGGTCTTTATTACAGGAGGGGGCGGAGACAAGACCAGTCACCCTGCACAGGCAGAGAGATCAGCAGTGAGCGGTCTTTATTGCTCACACTGGATGACTGCACAGGTCTGGAAGGAACACGCAAAGCTCCCCAGGCTTCCAGTAAGAACACACACGCCTCTTTGTATGTAGACAATATTTGCTTCTCCCGGAGTCCAGCCTTGAAACTATTTACATTTATGACTTCCAGATGTTACGTTCAATGCCACATGTGTGCGTTTTTTCAATTTCTCCAGCGCAGGTCCCTCCACCTCTTCGGAATATGAAAATGTTTAATCCATATTCTCCTGCAGAGTCCAAAGTCTCCTCCCAGATTAATCTGCCTTTATGGTCGGGTAGAATTTTTGAGGAAAGTGGGCTGTGTCAGCGTGGTGCCTCGTGGCCGTCTCCTCCCCGTCCCCTCTATAGCCCGGAGAGGCAGTGGCTGAGCGCTCAGTGTCAGGTTGTCACCGGCCGGGTGAGCAGTTCCTGCTTTTCTGGTCCCTGCAGACAGGATTGCAGAAGTTTTACATGAAACCATCTTCTGCATTCTGCATGCTGGGAGCTGCCTGTGCACGCCGATCTCCCCTCCTTCTCCCTCCCTCTTCTACATTCTCCGTTTCCTCCTTCTTTTCTCTCTCTCTCTAATTGCTGCCGTGTCGTCTCCTCTCCCCAACTGCACAAAGTCCGAGAGAATTCCGCCAGACCTGTTTTATCCGAACTTTCTCCTCCTGGAAACTTTCACCTTCTGCAAACTTTTTTACCAGGACACCTGGATTCCCCTCTCTGCCTTTCATTGCAGCCATGAGCGCCCTGAGGATCGGGGTGCCCCGCTTCCTCGGCACCCGTGTCACCCCTCTGAGCTCCCCTGTCCTTTCCTCCTCCAGGTCCGCCTCGGGAACACAGCTGGCAGAAAGGGACAGACGGGTCGCTGGCAAGATGAACGAGAACGGCGTGCACAGTCGCATCCTGACTTTGGAGTCCATGAACCCCTGGATTAAGAAGGTGGAGTACGCCGTCAGGGGCCCCATAGTCATCCGAGCCGTGGAGCTGGAGAAAGAGCTGCAGCAGGTAACGCCGGTTC